TCTCTCTCTCTCTCTCTCTCTCTCTCTCTCTCTCTCTCTCTCTCTCTCTCTCTCTCTCTCTCTCTCTCTCTCTCTCTCTCTCTGTCTCTGTCTCTTGTGTGTGTGTGTGTGCTACATCTTCTATTGCTCTCTTTCCATGTATTTCTTTCTGTCTATCTGTATGTCTTTTCCGCTCTTCTTCCTTTGCTACAGGGGCATCGATTGAAGAATTTCGATTGTCGGTTGTTCAGAGAGTTGAAGCAGATTCCAAGGGAAAATTCTCTTCTTCTGACGGGCACTCCTCTACAGAACAACCTTGCTGAGCTGTGGGCGCTGTTGAACTTCATTCTTCCCGAAATTTTCAATGATGTGAGACAGTTCCAGTCATGGTGAGTGAATTCCTGACCACCGCACTTGGCTAGTTACAGTTCTTGTGATATCCAGGCCATGTCCTGAAAGGTTGTGAAAACCAACGTTTGTGGAATGAACTAATGTATTAAACCTTCCCCAGGCTTAGTGCCTTTGTTCGCCTGAAAGACAATTCTTACCTTGTTGTACCTGAGTGCTCCTTAAACCGGCAGTATGTCCGAGCCTGTTATTCCTGTGGCAGATTTTTTCTGTTTTTTTTTTTTCCCCTTTTAAAGGGCAACAGCCCTGAGATATCATTTTTGAAATGACCGGCCCCGACCCCAGGTAAGGTCAGAATTATTTTTACTCATCTGATTCCAGGTGGACTCGAACTCAAGTCTCTATTTCAACAGCTCTGGGTGTACCAACTGCGCTAGGCCAGTTGGTCTTCCGTGCCAGATTTCTACTGCGTGTCAATTCCAAAATGAGCCGGCACGACACTCTTTTCTTTTCTTTTTGGCTGGCGCAGTGAGCCAAAAAGGTCCGGCAAGCCGAGGCAGGCTGAGCCTCCGAAGAAAATGGTGGTGAACAAGTTAGTTGCCAAAGTTCCCCTGGGAGACGTACTGGTGGTTTTTTTCATGGTCGCCCTGGACACGGACAACGGGACACATGTACCGGACCCATGTCTGGATTGGACCGGACGTCTGGTTAACCGGACATACTGGTTGGGTGAATCAGTGTCCGAATGTCGAAATTTGAATTTAATAATAAGAAAAGAAAAAGAAAAGGCACACATGACAAAAACACACACACACACACCTCAAGAAAATGACATAATTTATCTATTGTCTATCATATTGCTAACTGTCTCACTGTTGGGTAACCCCCTCTCAAGTATGCTGCATTCCTTGCATAAGGGTCAGGTTCCTATGATGTTGGATCTACTCGTGAAGGCATTGCTTGCATAAAGGTAACGTTTCTATTGTGCCTCATGTCGCTTACTATGGAAGGAACACTGTTTCCATGCTGGACTGATTCATCTCAAGCATGCTTCATCTTCAACAATAATGGTAAACTTGCTGCGATTTTGGATCTACTTATCTGGGTGGAACAGGGGATGTTCTGGTGAACATTTACAACACACAAACACACACACACACACACACACCCACACCCACACACACACACACACCCACACACACACACACACGCACACACACCCACACAGGTTTGTGGGAGTGCTCCGAGATGCTAATAAAATTGGAAGCATCCATGCTTCGGCATCCTGCAAACAACCAAACACAAAAGCAAGCATGACTTTTGTTAGATCCAGTGCCTCCCCCACTTCCCAACGTCGCTTTAACCCCATCCCATCAATCGATCAATCAACCAACCAATCAATCAATCAATCGATCGATCAATCAATCAATCAATCAATCAATCAATCAATCAATCAATCAACCGATCAATCAATCAATCAATCAATCAATCAATCAATCAATCAACCAACCAACCAACCAATTACCTAAGTGGTTGATTGGTTGATTGATCGATTGGCTGATTGCTCGATTGGTTGATTGATTGATTGATTGATTGATTGATTGATTGATTGATTGATTGGTTGGTTGATTGATTGATTGATTGATTGATTGATTGATTGATTGATTGATTGATCGATTGGCTGATCACAGCCACGGAAACCTGTCAGACCCCCCTCCCCCCTCCCTCATCCGCCAGTCCCCCCTCAGTCGACCCTCCCTGAGTCCCTGCGCCCTGAATCCCCCTTCC